CGCGTCAACCCTATATTGCTATAGCAGAAATTAAAATGCCATGAAAGTATTGAGTCGGCGGCGATGCATTGAGCAAAAAAGGACAACAGCAACTCATTGTGTTTCCTCACTTATTCTGCTTCAATTGCTGCGATTGGGTGTCTCACCCGGGATTCCTTACCATTCACTGCACCGTTTTTGGGGATACTTTTCCAAACTTGAAATTATTCCAATTAAACACCTTTGACTTGTTTGAATTCAAATTGCAGATTTTTCTCAGGTAAACACTTTAGGTTATTTCCGTAAAACACTTTTGATTATTCAATAAATTACTTTAAATTTATTTCAATAAGCTTTCCATTGACTTCAGTTAAACGCTTTGATTTTATTCAGTAAAATCCACTTGAATTTATTTAGTGAAAACCACTCTGATTTGTTTTAGTAAAAAACCACTTTGAATGTATTTAGTAAAATAGCATTGTTTTATTTTATTTGTAAAAAATACGTTGTTGTCAGTACTCGCTTCACTCTTACAGACCGCCGGAGAAATGTTGTCGCTACGAACGGGAATCGAAAAAAGGGCCGTTGCTCGTTACTGCTGATCCTTTTAAGGGCTGCTGAGTGGTGAATACGCTGTATAACTGAATAACTGTATGATGTTGTTATGTGTGTTGTCTTCATGTGTGATGTATTCGTGTCTGGTGTCTTCATTAGTGTGCTGTGTTATCGTCCAAGGATATGTGTTGAGGGGGGAGCGCTAACTCATCTAGCCATCCCCTCGCCCCTAGGCGAATTTTAGCCTCGCAGTCGCTGTAGTTGCTGCAGCATGGCAACAACACTGCTGAGGCCAGTGGAGCGGTGGTATGACGTCCGAGGCTGTCGATGCCGTGATGATGCCTTATTTCGCCTCGATATGGCTGGAGGAGGGGCTATTAGCTTTCTTTGCTGACCCGGACGGCCGGTCTGCTGCGTTCTGCCCGCGGAGCGTTGGCGCATGGCAGCCCGTTTTGGAGTGCGATGCAGCATAGTGTGGTGTGGCCGGTTGCATAGTTGGCAGAGCGTGACTGACGTACACTCCTGCGTGCTGTATGCCGTCGCCAAACAATTCAGGTAGTGTCCGTGAGCCTGAGCAACCTTCTGGCGTTGTAAGGACGGCATGCCACGGCAAAGGCTGCAATGTTAAAGCCGATGAGATCGCCGACACAGGGGACATAGGCTGGGCGGAGGCTCCACGGCTGGTGCTGAGGAGGGTGGTAGTGGTCGTGTACCACTACGAAAAGCGGTTGCAGGAGACGTTGCCGCTGGGTTTCGTGGCGCTGGAGCTGCCCCAGGGCGTGGCACAGTAATGGTGGACCTCACTGTTGGCGTTGGCACGCTGGGCATATCCACATCCATATTGATCTGTATGCAGAAGTTATTATAATTACAAATTTGTTGCATGCAAAATTTATATGGCGATTATGCTACGGTATGTGGGAAGAATGTGTCGTCATGTAGATCGACCATTGCTATTAGATTCGAACGTTCATCGATTAATTATTTGATTTTTAAATTTTGCTTGCGGGATTATCGGCGGTTTTTTCATTATATGCCATTTCCTTAATATATGGTAAAAAATATAGTTTCACGAGTGGTCTTGTTAGCATGATCATCAGAACGGTAATGTAGTTTCGTTTCATTCGGTGGGGGGTAGACAGTCATCATGGATGATGACGCAATATCCAAGCTTTGGCGCCTTTTCTGGAGTCTTCCACCTGTACCTTTTATGAAGGGCCTTTATATATTCTTCCTTCCATCGTGAGACTTGTTTGATAAAATCCACAAACTCCTTTTCAGTGGCTCTTTGGACTCCAATGAAGGCGAGAAAAGCCTCCTTTGTCAGATTCATACACAGCTCGAGGTGCACTGCTTTTGTCGTAAAACAGACAAAGACAGCCACATAGCCTTTCGCTAGAGTGGGGGACCTTAGCATGGACGCCTTTATCTGAAAAGGCCCAGCAAAGTCGACACCTGTAACTGTGAAAGGCAGAGCGAAGTTGCAGCGTCCCGGTGGAAGTGCTGCCATAATCTGTGTTCCGAGGAGTAATGTGACAAGTTGGGATTTCTCTGCTAAAATTAGAGGGTGACGTTCGTTGTACCTGAGGTTTGCGTTAGCAAGCCTACCATTCGCACGAAGCCTTTCGTGTCCTATCAATTCGGTTTCGATTCTCTTAATAATAAGATATGGCGGCTGAAGTAGCGCATTTGAGTGGATGCGATTAGTGCGACCTTTGTCTTTTGGAGTTCTAGGTGCGTCAATGTATCGCATTGGGGAGATTCTGGATGAATTTCCTTAACTTTATTTTTGAGTCGCTCTATGAACTTTAGCATATAGGCGATGACTCTAAGGGCACGAACGAACGATGCAAATCGATCAAGGATGTCACTATCATCCAATGTTGCGGGAAAGCAGTAGATTTTTCGAAGAATCTAGAGATTCTGTTAACCATCGGGAGCCATTCCACCAGAGGTTGATGGTGGCAAGGTGCAGCGGCTTCCACCCTCTTGTACCTCAATCGGCAGGATTGTCAGCACTGGCTACGTGACGCCAAGTGGCTGACCCCACTAGGTCAAGTATTTGTGACGTACGATTAGATATGTACGTTTTCCATGCGTGTGGTCCAACCAGGCTAGAACTATTTCAGAACCGGACCAGAGATGCAATCTGTATTTCTTCATGTTTAAGTGGGTCTGCACTATGGAAACCAATTTTGCGAGTAGTAGGGCGCCACGGAGCTCAAGTCGAGGTAGACTTAGCGTTTATAGAGGAGCCACCTTAGCCTTAGCTACTAATAAGTGGCTTGTGGTCACGTTATCGCATTGTGTGCGCTCATGTGTAGATACTGGCACAGTATGCCTTCTCAGAGGCGTCACAGAAGCCATGTAATTCGACTTTGTGTTCGGGGGAATAGTTTACCCACCATGGGATTTGTATCTATGAGATATCRTTTAGATTGCTCGCGAACTGGGACCACTTTTCTAAACGAAGTGGTTTTACTTGTTTGTCCCAGTCGGTGCCATCTGGCCATAATTCTTGTATCAGGATTTTAGCTTGTATCATAATTGGCGAAAGTCAACATGCGGAGTTGAAAAGTTTTGCCAGAGAGGATAGAATTTGGCGTTTTGTAATGGCGGATAATGCAGATATTGACTCGGTAGTGTATGAAAACTGGTAAGATATCGCATTCCATTGAATCCCAAGAGTTTTTGTTGTGCATTTCTTTTCGAATTTAAGGAAATTTGTGTCTAATAGATTTTCTTTAGGTATACCCTTTATAATATTAGGGTGTTTCGCCGTTATCTTTTTTAACGGAAACCCTGCTGTATTGAGCGCTTGTGTCACTTGTGCTAGTGACACGTATGCCTGTGGAAGACTGTGGCTGCCAGACAGAATGTCGTGTTCTGTTTTCAACACTTGTGTTGCCAGAGGAAACTCTGATTTTGTGTCTTCTGCCAGTTCGTGGAGCGTACGGATGGCTAGCTATGGGGCACAGTTTACGCCAAAGGTAACAGTTTTTAATTTAAAATCGCATAGTGAACTATTGGGAGATTTTCGGAAAATAATTCGCTGAAAATCTTGATCGTCTTTATGTGCGACTATTTGTTTGTGCATTTTCTCGACGTCCCCGTTAAATACGTATTTGAAAATAGGTCTCGTTGAAGCGTGGGTCTCGTAAATAACATGTCCGTGCAAGCTGTAACTTGAGTCAAAATTGGGATATCATGATGAAACTTGGTACACGTATTTCTTGGCTCCATAAGAAGTTTAAGTTCGAAGATGGGCAAAATTGGCCCACTGCCACGCCTACAAAATGGCGAAAACAGAAAACCTATGAAGTGTCATAACTAAGCCATTAATAAAGATATTAAAGTGAAATTTCGCACAAAGGATCGCATTAGGGAGAAACATATTTGGACGAAATTTTTTTGGAAAAGTGGGAGTGGCCCCGCCCCCTACTAAGTTTTTTGTACATATTTCGGAAACTATTATAGCTATGTCAGCCAAACTCTATAGAGTCGTTTCCTTGGCATTTCCATATACCTGTCTCTTATACACATCTAGATGTGTATAAGAGACAGGTTATCCTGCGTTGGATTTCTACGCTGACATTGT